GCGCCGCCTGCGCTCCGGGCGCACAGGGCCAGCCGCCTCCGTCCTCCTCGGCGCGGGGCGCGGCGGCGCTCGGCACGCGGCCTGCTCCGGCTCAGGTGCCCAGGCTCCGGATCTTCTCTCCAGGCTCGAGTCCCCTCCGCAGGCTCCCGGCGCCGGCGGGGCTCGCAGACTCGCGGCCGGAGCGGAGCTGAGCAGAGTGCGCACGCCGGGGTGGCGGGACTTCGGCAAGACCAACTTTCCGGTTCGGAAGCGGCGCGGGCCGCGCGGCTCCTCCCCTCCCCTCCACCCCCTCTCTCCCGCCCCCCACCCGGTCCCACCGACTCCGAGCGCCCGCCCCGCCCGCTGCTGCTACCAGGGCCGCCTCGGCCCCCGTGTCCGCCTGCCGGGGCCTCTCCTCGGAGGAAGGCTTAAGTCCAGGAAGGGAGGGGACCGCGGGGCCCCGGTGCCCGTCTCCCCCCCTTCTCTTTCCCGACGGGCGCAGTGGCTCCGGCACCCACTGCTGGGGAACCTGCGGAGCGGGCGGTGAGCGCGACTGAAAGTTCCAAGTCTACAGAAGTCCCGCACGCGGTCCACTGCGTCTCGGGATTTCGGGGTTGACGTGGGGGGCCAGGTGGAGGGGTCGCTCACATCTGGACCACCCCAGCACCATCGGGCAGCCTGCGAGGCGCGCTCCCCCGCCCTCGGTCACACGAACGCGCCTTCTCACCCGCGCGCATCCCCCGCGCTCTTCCACCCAGCTGAGCACCCGCACCCGCGCGCATGGCCGCGCGTGTCCTCCATCCCCGAGCGGCCACAAGATGTGCCCTGGGCCTCTTCGCCGCCAAGCCTGCACCAGTGCCCCTAGCCCCAGTATGCCATTTTTCATTTCCTAATTTTATATTTTTGTTTTTGGAAGTGGCCCTGTGTAGTGCGAAGCTTCGGCACAGATGGCCTTCCCGCGCTTCCCCTAGCAGTCGCTCGCGGCAGCGGAGGCCGGAGGCGGAGGACAGGTGACCAGATAGCCCCCAATGCTTGGCAGCTGAATACTCCCCACAGGGCTAGGAGCTGCTGCCTGGCTGTGGAATCCCCCGCCCCTGCAAAGATTCGGGCCTGGCGCAGCTCCCCGGCTCTCCGTCCGTTGCTTTTCGGTTCTAGACTCTGGTTCGCGCAGCCCGTGTTCTGCCGCCCGCCTCTAGTTTTTTAAATTCCACGAAGCAACAGCTTTGGGCTCCAGGAAGAGCACAGGAGAATCATGCAGAGGAAGGAAGCACACAGGTTGGAGTCGCTCCAAACAGCCCCAAGAGCCATTTACGAAAACAAATCTTTAAGGTTGGTTTTCTTTTTGGCTTTTGGAGGGCATATTCACTTAGATGATTTTTTAAAAAGGCAAATAAAAGATGCTCAAAATCTGCTTTTCCCATTTGGCTCACACATCGATTGCGCTTTCATAAAATACGGAGCAAAATGTCGTTATCGAAATCGCGGTGAAGTTGTGTGAAGGCTGTTTGCTTTTAGGGGACGCTTGTTGTTCTTCTGGCACAGAGACACTCAGTAGTGAAAAGTTTGTAACCAAGGCTTTGGAGCGAGGAGAGACAGATATTTTCCTGGGAAAAGAGGAGAAAGCGGCAGGGATCAGGATAGAAAAAAAGAGTGCATGGGGAGGGGCAATGGAGAATGGAAGTTTTTGCAGAATTTAGAGGACGGTCAAGAGTTTTTTTTTTGAGGGGGGTGTGTGTGTGGGGGGGGTGCTGCACCTCGGTGAGAAGGCAGAGATCTGACATTACTTTCTAGAACGCAGAAGGATTATTGCCGGATGCTACTCTAGGCCAAAAGTGTACTGTCTTTTGTGACCTGGTCAGTACCCATTCCCTGTTTTTTTTAATCGACACACTTCGGGAAGAAGAAGGATACGCAGGTACTCCTGCCGCCGGCAGCACTGAAGCCTTTCTGGGAAGACCGGATCCCGCTAGACTCCAGAGCCTCCTGGCCCCCACAGCCTGACCAGCTCCTCATTGGATCGCCTCAACTTGCTGCTGCCCACCTTTTTGTTGCTGGCGGCCCTCATACTCCCGCCTGTCCCCCATCCCTCTTTCCAACAAACGGTCACGAGTTCTCTTAAGTCTTTCTGGGACTTCCAAATGCAACTGTTTAATTTTGTGCACTTCCTTTGCATTTTCTATGAGGTGTGGTCGTGGGGAGGATCTTTTGAGTCCCTCCAATGAAGGCAGATCTGCGCCCGGGCCCTTCGTGTGCATGAAACAAGCCTTCAGATTGCGGAGCAGTCCAGCGAATCCTAAGTGGGAAGGTAAAACAGGCTTGAGTGGACATCGTGGGTCTCTCGGGAACAAGCCGGAGATCCTGATGCATTTGTCCAGCCCCAGGTGGGCTGCTGTCCCAGGGTTAGGGAGGCACAGGGCTGAGCTCTCCGGGGACCGTGCAGGCTCCATGTCTCCTATGGCGCAGGCTGTGCTCAAATTTCGTTGAGGTGAAGCAAAGATTTGGACCGAAGGGCCAAGAAGCAACAGAAGCATGTACTAATTCCCTCCAATGCTGAAATGGTGCCCTTGAGTAAATCCTAAAGTGCACTCTTTAAAAAACTACTTAGGGAAGACTAAATATTTTTTAAAAATTAAAGTAATTTTAGAAAACAAAAGGCAGGTAGGTTTCTGCCTGACTTACCTGTTCCCTTCCCTTTTTTGCCTCCCTGCACTCAGATCAAAAACCTATAATTGCTCTTACTGTGGGAAGTTTTAAGGATAGTATTTACAGTTTAAACCCTATTGGCAGCAATATATTTATCTCAAAGTGACAGTGGGTCAATGGGATATTTTCACAGATAAGAGGCAGGATGTAGGCTCTGGTTGTGCCACCAACAAATAGAGCAGAGGTGTGGACCCTGACTCAGGCATGAGGCGCACACATATTTATAATCACATGACCACTGTCTATTAAATTATTGTAATACCTAAACACTATTGCAAAAACAAAAGTTGATTTTCTTCTCTGTAATTAAATCTAATTTGTTAATTGTCTTTCCTCTTGCAATGTTGTTTTTATCTTAAGAGGAGACACGTTATTATTTTGTCTGCTTAATAATATTATTTACAAATTAATACTGTATATTTTACATTAGTGGAACATATAATTAGGTGTTTGATTTAATTTGTATTATTTATTCAGATAAAATAGAAAGGCTATGCAAGATTGATTTGACAAGGGGAGGTTGAAGAGTCAGTTCTAATTTAACATCACAGGTTGTTGAAGTTACCTGGCTCTAGATTCATGAAAGCTGGTTTTACGTAAGGTGCATTTGACATTTTGTTTAAAATGCGTTTATTTCCCCAACTACTTAATACAAAACAGGCATTCAAATATTAAAGCTATCATTTTTGGTCTCCTTTATTTTTTTTTTTTCCATCCCCAAGTTCCCTGTACTTACTTGTTGTCTGTCTCCCTCCCTCTGGCTCTTTCCCCAACCCCCAACTTTTGTTTTAGGTCCTTAGGGTTAAATTCTGCATGATGTCGTGTCCTTAATGCTGTGACAAGTGACCACTAATTGGTTCTCACTTGAGCAAAGATATTACCATACTAATATTATTATTGGTAAGAAGAGGTAATTGATAACACCACCTGCCACTCTGGGGCAATCACAATGATAAATGTTTCCATCAACAGGAAATCTGTGCTTGGTGTACCACAGCCCCACGCAAACAGCATGTCAAGTGCCAATTATAAAGATGTTGCTTTTCTGTTACATTGGGAGGGGTGCTAGAAAACATATAGGTAAATGTTTTTATTTGTGTTTTTTAAAAAAATGTTTTATCCAAGCTTCTGTTCATCTAGTTGAAGTTAAGTTTCTCCAGAAAAATAAAAAAAGCTGTGATGCATAGCTAACTGCTCTGCCCACACTGGCTACAACTCCTCGTCTTCTTGCATTTAAAGCCATTGATATAAATCTGCCCCAATATCTTCATAGGTAAGAACCATGTCCATGGTGTATAAATTTATCATGTGTGTTCTGAAGCCTGCCTATATTTGGGGGACAGGACACTGCAACTTTACTGTAGGCACCACAGTTGAGCATTCATAGCTTTTTTTTTTTTTTTTTTTTTTTAATGGCATACACAGAGAAACATCAGCACATATTCAGGGGCTTCACACCGGGATGCAGACTGTCTCGAAGTACTTCTGTCCTGACCACTGAACTTTGTATGGTGGATACATGTGGCATGGGAGGGGCATTGTAGTGTGCATTATTACATACATGATACTGGGGAGCTAAAACTTTGACTCTTTTGCGTCTGGGGAGGCTCAAACGATTATTATTAGCTTGCATTAATAGATGCAGGCCTCAAAAGGCAAAATCAGCTATTGATAATTGCAAGAAGTATACAGCAGCTACTGTATCGATCGGCT